AGGGCTCTCATTCTTGGCACCGCTAAACTGTCTTCGTTCGATAAGGGTGATCATGGCCGGCCGGATCTCAAAGTCATTGGCTTGAGTGGTGGGTGGAGCAATCCCACTTGAAGCTCTATATGCCCTGGGAGTTCCCAACTCCTTAAGAGGTTGTGGTGGTGGCTGATTTTCTGTCATTGGAACTGGTTGTGTGCTTAGGCCGGTTTCCTTTCCTTGAGAGTTTGATGATTTCGACCGGGATTTTCGATTGCTTTTCAAAGTCCTTTCGATTTCAGGATCGAAGGGTATTAACTCTCCCTGTTTAAACCTGCGCATACACACTAACCAAACCAATCAAATAGCAAGGATACAAGTGTAGCAAAAAAGAAATATCGTTTTGTATTTTTGTTTGAAGAACTAGACTCAAGAAATAAAAAAGCAATCAACAAACACCGCTCCCCGGCAACGGCGCCATTTTGACGAGGGTTAAATCGGTCGCTACAATCTAACTCTCAATCAAACAATACTTATACGAACACCCTATAACCATGTACAATGGCAAATAAAGGTTCGGTCCACGAGGAACTAGAGTAATTGCAAATCAATCTTAAACCTAAGCTAGTTCGAAATCAATGGAAAATGGTGTTCTAAAATACTACTAATAAGATGGGATAAACCAGATAAACTAAGACACTAGGGAAGACGGGAATTCACCAAACCATCGGTAACTACGCAACAAGGAATCACAGAGACAAACGGGATATGCAAAGACTATATGTCTGATCAATATCATGAGGTAGGAAGACAACGGGCAATATTAAGCTTGGATTTCTCATGCACTTAACATTACTCGATACATAATCAAACCACATTCAACAATGAAATACTCAATTCACAATCTCTTGTTCAAATCAAGGATATCATGCAATCAAATTCAAGATTCTAGGTTAGCTACTCCTATTATAATGAATTAACATGAAATCGCATATAATCAATTTAATCACAATCCGTTTATCAAAATCAATCCTCAATTACATAGGTTACCTAGGCCGGGTTTCATCCCGAAACCCTAGCTAGGAGACTACTCACACATATTCATAATCAAAGCAATAATGAATTCCAAAAGCATAATAGATATAAACATGAATTCTGATTAAGGAATAATAAATCTTGATTAATAAACAAGAATGAATAATACCAATTGTATTGATGCGAATCAATGGAAAAGTTCAGAACTTTGATATCCCTCGTCAATGAATAAAACAAAGAATCTTCACAAATCTTGCTTCAAATCAATCCAAGAAAACTAAAAAACGCTAGAATAATCTCTAAGAAAACTAATGAATCTCTAATACTAAGAACGTTCTCCAATAACTCTCTACAAAAGCTCTCAAAAACTATCTCTAAAACTGTCTCTCTAAATCTCCCCTCTTATCCCTCACCATAGGGTTATATATATATATATATATATATATATAAAAAATATATATATATATATATATATATATATATATATATATATATATTATATATATATGTTTTAATTTAGAAAGCAATTGCGCAGGCTGCCCTTCGTAAATCAGCACGGCCGTGCTAGAAGTGGCACGGCCGTGCAAGCATGGCAGTACCTGATCCGCAATATATTCAATTTTGGCACGGCCGTGCTGAATTTGGCACGGCCGTGCTAATGCCTGACACGGCCGTGCTAATGCCTGACACGGCCGTGCTAATGCCTGGCACGGCCGTGCTGAATCTGGAAAATGGCACGGCCTTGCTGAATTTGGCACGGCCGTGCTAATTCCTGGCACGGCCGTGCTAATGCCTGGCACGGCCGTGCAAGCATAGGCAGGAAGGTTGCAGGCACTTTGGTCTTTTTAAAATAGTCACAACTTCTTATCTAGAGCTTTGTTTGAGGCGTGCAATATATCGTTGGAAAGCTCTTCAAGTCTACTTTCCAATGCAATTAGAATCACTCCAATATCATTTGTTTACCGAAAGTTATGAGCAAAATAGTGAACAGGTGTCATATTTGTGAACTGTTCTGCCTTGCCTGCTACTTAACTTGCCTTTCAAGGCCTTGAGAACCGCAACAAAGTCTTAGCTTGGTGGACTAGGATCGATAATAGCCTGATTACGCACCAATGGTTTGGGACTCGACATAACTTGGTCAACTATACCTGTTAACACACCAAAAACAGACCGAAACCCGTGAAGCACGTAATATGAAGGAAACGAGTGTAACAAGGCAATAAACGACCAAAACGGGCCTAAATACATCCAAAATCACCCATTTATATGCCTTAAAGCGCGCCCTAATGTGCGCTTGTCACCTTGGTTAGGTGCTTAATGAATATGATTGATCTTTAATTCCGCTGCGTAGTACCTATAATTCCCTACAGTACGTGGTATCAGTTAGCCTCTTGCAATTACATATATTGAGTATTAATTCTTTGATAATCCGCAATTTTAATTCAATTAGGAGGGAGAATAATTTAATTATGGGTCAATTATTATATTAAATGTGATTTAACAATATCGAATCATTAAAAGTTGTTTAATTTGCTCCATATTAGCCCTGATTTGATCCGAAAATTGCCCTATATTATTCGAAAAATTCGAACCCCCCCCCCTAATATTTCAAAAATTTCGAATCATAAACCCCAATTTGTGAAATTGTGTTTTTGATTTTGATTTAATTCGAAAATTTATGTTTAGAGAATTTAATCTATTTGATTTCATGACTAAATTATGAATTTTTTATGATCAAATTATTTAATTTAAAAGTTAAATTGAATTGGGATTAAATTCATGAAGAACCCTAATTTTAAAATTGAATATGATTTAATTTTAAAATTAGAAGGACCACATTAATTTAATTTAATAAAATTATTTTGTTTTAAATTAAAAAAAAAGGAGGATTTAGGTGTGGCAGCCGCGGTTGGGTGGCGCAGTCACGGCGACTGCCGCACCGGCGGTGGCCCAGGAGGGAGGGTGGGCTGGGCACGGGTTGGACAGGGGAAGCGCAGCAGTGCACCACCCTGTTGCGTGTGCTGCTGCTGTTGTGCTTGCGTCGCTGCAGGGCAGCGTACACCGCAAGGTGTACGACCACCGTGGCCGGCTTTGGCTGGCCACACCACGGTGGCTGACGCGATTTTCAAAAAAAAAATTATTTTGGATAAAAATCAGTTTTCAAAATTAAAAATTAAAAGATAAGATTTGATTTTGAAAAGGATAATTAACAAAGTTAAAGTTGTTAAGATAAGATAAATATGGAGCAAAAGATTCTATTTGGATAATAATTGATTAAATAATGTGATAATCCCATAATTATTGTAGGATATTAATTGATTTAAAATATGTGATTGACAAGTAATTAGGATAAAATTTCCTAAAAGTTAGGATAATCATGGAAAATAAATATGATTTATCTTCCATAATTAAAATAAGATTTGATTCTATCTCATACCTAAATTAAAATATACGATATTTTATAATTGGTTATGAATAATATATGATATTATCTAATTACAGTAATTAATTAAAATATGAGATATTTAGGAGCCATGTTTCCTTTACTGTGAACATTCGATGTTGTAGTTTAGGAAAGCATGATGAATGATTTATTATATGGCATTTTATAATATATGATGTTATTTATTTCTATATAGACTAGTATGGCCCATGGATTCTAATTACGATCTGCGCATCATTTTGTATTTTTATAATCTAAATACGGTCTGCGTACCGTTGTATTTTTGTAATTTATTTTATTTTATTTAAGTAGTAGATAAAATAGAATAGTATTACAGGTTGCAGTTAATCCAAGAATCCATGGAGTGGAGGCCCAAAGGAGCAAGATGGATGAGATCCATGAAGGTTCAAGTGGGAGCTTTTGCTTTATTAGTTTTCTTAGGATTAAGGGGCCATACTATGTCATGTTTTTATTTATGCTTTATTAGGTTATGCATGTTAGATTTTATTTATGTTGTTTGATGATGTGCTAGAGTTCACTAAATAATCACAACATAATGAATCTAGGTCCCAGTAATATTGAGGTAGCTTTTCCAATCAAAAACCCGATGAAACCTTCGATATTTATGATGGGTCATGCCAAAGCAGGGTGTCATATTATATCTTAGGGGAGTGGGGGTAAAACAAATTTTACACTTTTGATTGGTTATACTCAACAAGGTTACCTAAAGAGTTTAGAACCTTGAAGCTAAGGGAAATAATTAAACATGTGATGGATAATTATTCAACCAAGAATTACAAAGAGTTATAATCAGTAAAGAGTTTACTCACCTTGAAAATGTAATAATTGATGGTAGGGCCAAAGTCCGGTCAATTATTGCACAAATAAAGGATCTTGGGATCATTCTATTCAATAGGGATCAATTAAAAATTGAATGAATGTTTTAAAGTTACCAGTTTTATAATCGCTTATGGTACTTTAAAAATTTATTAAACATAATTATTGAACTTCGCCTCGTTTGTTTTTGTTTGTAGATGAATAACTTATACGACAACACTGTTTTACCAATGAAACTTAACTTAAGGATGAATATCAGAAACTTTAGGGAATGGGAAAATGAGTTGAGAAAAGTTCTCACAAGCCATGGGCTTGAATCTCGTTTATATATTCCTGTTGAGAGCAAGTATACAGAAAAATATGAAGCTGAAAGGCATGCTGAAATTGTTTCAGATGCAGAGAAAATCAGAGGGCTCATTTTAGAATCTATTCCAATTTGTTGGAAAAGGAGATTCAGGCACTATGAGCTAACCAACTTGTACAAATGTCTTTGTGCTATCTGTCGAGGTGGCATTGGGGCATTAAAAAGTGGAGGCTTCAAAGATCATAATGTAAGAGAGGTCGTTAACTCGATCCCTCAGATTTACTATTCATGGACTGACAGCGTAAGGTATGAGGCTTACAATGTTCATTGTAAGATAATGGCTAAAAGACTCACGCCTGTCAGTCAGTAAGGGCCCATGTCAAGGAACTGATTGAAATGTTCAATCAGATGGATGTCCTTGGGAAACCGATCGATGATGACTCTGCACATGATATTATCTTGTTCTCACTCCATGATGGTTTTGACATTGTCAAGCTCACTCATAATGATGAGGGATCGTCGGTGACATTGATCAATCTTTTGCTTAACCATGCTGAGGAGTTCCTGAAAAGGAGAGGAAGCGAATGCTTCTTTTGCGGTAGTTGGCCATGCCATACATCAGGGTGTCCCCACTATACACCAGTGAAAATAGAATGTAAAGAATTACTTGATGTTTTTGTTGTAGAAATTAACCTTACTTCAACTTCCACTTGGGTATTTGATACCGGTTGTGGTGCTCACATCGTTAATAACATGCAGGGCTTGAGAGAAAGTAAGAAGTTAGTAAAAGGGGAAGTAACACTTCGAGTAGGAAATGGAGCAAAAGTTGCTGCACTTGCTATTGGAAGTTATCACTTAAGACTTCCCTCTGGACTTATTTTGGTGCTTAATAACTGTTATTATGTACCAACAATTACTAAAAACATTATTTCAGTTCCTATTTCAGATTCTGAAGGATTTTCATTTGAAATAAGAGACAAATGTTGTTTTATTTCGAAAGAAAATATGTTATATGCTAACGCGAAGTTAATTAATGGTTTGTATGTCTTAGAATATACAACTCATGTCTACAATATTGATCATAAAAAGTAAAGAACAGATGGTTCAAACCCAACTTACCTATGGCATTGTAGGCTTGGTCACATCAACCAAAAGCGCATCCAGAAATTACATAAGGATGGACTTCTCTCTTCATTTGATTATGAATCATTTGAAAATTGTGAGTCATGCTTGCTTGGGAAAATGACTAAGTCACCCTTCACGGGTATAGGCGAAAGAGCTAGTGACCTTTTGGGACTCATACATATAGATGTGTGTGGACCAATGAGTTCAAAAGCAAGGGGTGGATTTAATTACTTCATTACTATTACTGATGATTTAAGTAGATATGGTTATGTTTACTTTATGAAGAACAAGTCGGAATCCCTTGAAAAGTTCAAAGAATTCCAGAATGAAGTACAAAATCAACTTGGGAAAACAATTAAAGCATTACGATCTGATCGTGGTGGTGAATATTTAACCCAAGAATTTGATGAACATCTGATTAATTATGGAATAATTTCACAGTTAACTCCTCCAGGAATGCCACAGTTGAATGGTGTGTCAGAAAGGAGGAACAGGACTTTACTAGATATGGTGAGGTCCATGATGAGCTTTACTGATCTTCACATATCATTTTAGGGATATGCATTAGAAGCAGATGCCAGAGTACTAAACAGAAGCCTGTCCAAAGTAGTTGAGAAGACACCATATGAGATATGGACTGGAAAGGTTCCAAAGTTGTCTTATCTCAAGATTTGGGGATGTGAAGCCTATGTAAAACGTTTACTAGGTAATAAACTACACCCTAAATCAGACAAATGTTTCTTTGTGGGTTATCCAAAAGAAACAAAGGGGTATTACTTCTACAATCGCGAAGATAACAAAGTGTTTGTTGCTCGCGATGGTGTCTTTCTAGAAAAGGAATTCCTGTCTAGAAAGCCAAGTGGGAGTAAAGTGGTTCTCGAAGAAATTTGAGACGAGCAACAAATGGATGTGGATAACACCACATCAGAGGCGAGGGTGCATGAGTCAATTAATCATGCGTCGGATCAAGCTAATTCGACTAGCGAGACTCCTATCGTCCCACTTAAACCTAGTTCATGCGAAAATCTTCAAGGAGTTGGAGAGAATATTTCTACTGTTGCTCCTATCCTACGTAGGTCTGCCAGAATCAGAAACAAACAGTTTGTTGAGGTTCTGATAACTGAGGATTCTGAAATCTTCTTATTGGAGAATGAAGAACCTACAACCTACAAGCAAGCTTTGGCAAGCCCCAACTCAGATAAATGGCTTGATGCCATGAAGTCCAAAATGGAATCAATGTCTGAAAATGAAGTGTGGACCCTAGTTGACTTGCCTGATGGGGTAAAACCTATTGGATGCAAATGGGTTTACAAGATTAAAATAGACAAGGATGGAAATGCCTACATCCATAAAGCAAGACTGGTTGCGAAAGGATACAGACAGATTCATGGTATTGACTATGATGAAACCTTTTCCTAGTAGCCATGCTTAAGTCCATTCGGATTCTTCTAGCGATTGCTGCATTTTTCGATTACGAAATTTGGCAGATGGATGTCAAAACCGCCTTCTTGAATGGGTTCTTGACGGATGAAGTGTACATGACACAACTTGAGGGTTTTGAAGATCCAGAAAATCCTAGAAAGGTATGCAAACTTTAGAAATCTATTTATGGATTGAAGCAAGCATCCTGGAGTTGGAATCTTCGTTTTGATGAAGCAATCAAACAGTTTGATTTTCTCAAAAGTGAAGAGGAACCTTGTGTATACAAGAAGTCTAGTGGGAGCAGCATAGTTTTCCTAGTCCTGTATATGGATGACATACTACTCATGGGAAATGACATACCAATGCTTGAGTCAGTCAAGGAATGGTTGAAGAGTTGTTTTTCCATGAAGGACTTGGGTAACGCCGAGTTCATTTTGGGAATCAAGATCCATCAAGACAGGTCTCGAAGGATGATTGGACTAAGTCAAGAGACTTATATTGATAAGGTTCTTGACACGTTTGAGATGGAAAACTCCAAGAGAGGATTTCTCCCCATGTCACATGGCATTACGCTCAGTAAATCTCAATGTCCGGTTATGCCGGATGAGATGAGACGTATGGCTATCACTCCTTATGCTTCTGCAATAGGATCGATAATGTATGCCATGATTTGTACGAGGCCGGATGTTGCATTTGCTCTAAGCATGTGTAGCAGGTTTCAGGAAAATCCAGGTGATGCACACTGGACAGCTGCCAAGAACATCCTTAAGTACTTGAGAAGGACGAAAGGAATGTTTCTAGTTTATGGTGGCGAAGATGAGTTGGTTGTCAAAGGTTATACGGATGCGAGTTTCCAAACAGACAGAGATGACTTTAGATCAAAGTCTGGGTACATTTTCTGTCTGAATTGAGGAGTAGTGAGCTGGAAGAGTTCGAAGCTGAGCACTGTCGCAGACTCTACAACAGAATCAGAATATTTGGCTATAGTTGAAGCAGCCAAAGAAGCAGTTTGGATAAAGAAGTTCCTAATTGAGCTGGATATCTTACCAAGTGCTCAAAAGGGAATCGAGTTGTATTGTGACAACAATGGCACCATTGCCCAATCAAAGGAGCCTAGGTCACACTTCAAATCCAAACATGTTGAGAGGAAGTATCACCTCATTCGAGAGATCGTTAACAGAGGAGATGTGAAGATGTGCAAAGTTCATACGGATGAGAATATCGCTGATCCACTTACTAAACCCCTTCCACTACCTAAGCATGAGAAACATGCTAGTGAAGCTGGATTGAAGCAAATGATGTAATTAGAAGTTGTATTTATTTTTGGAGAAAAATAAGTTACATACGTAATTGTAGACACCCATTTGTGTCTCCCCAAAACCAAACCTAGTTATGAATACCTTTCACGTCGTATGATTATCGAATAAAAAAAAGTGTGAAAATTCTATTGATGAGGATGTTTTTATAAAAATATCTCTTCTTTCTGTTTTTTGAAAATATTTCTTTTCTTACTTTATTTATGAAAAACATGCATTTCAGTTTAGTTTGTTCCATAATATGGGTCCAATAATGATGTAGATGGATGGGGTTTGAAAAGACCTTTCCAACGATATATTATAAGCCCAATTCCGATGAATAATGAGGAAGTTATGGCCAAAATACTAAACTGGGCCCGATTTGGTTTTTATATGCGGCCCAATGATCTAGAGGAGGGCCTATTATTAATTATCATTCCTAAAGCTATTAGGATTGATTATAGTCTTCTAGAATACTCTAGAAGGTTCTCTTAAATACTAATGGAGTTAGAAGTGATAATTATGTTTTAAAGAGTTTGAAATTGAATAAAACTACTCCTTTTGAGAATCCTTGTTTTGTACAAAGTGGAATATATTCAGATTTTATTTTCGCGACTCATAATATTTATCCAAATTTTTGATGGTTGGATAAATATTGAAATTATCTTTCCAATGATATATTATAATATTAAATCCGAGCTATAACGAAAAAGATATGAATGAGACATGAAACTCTATCCAAAACTGACACCCTTCCACTATTTTGGTCATATCTTTTTTTCTACAAAATATTTTAATCTGATTCTAATTGTGTTGGAAATTAGACTTCAAGAGATTTCCAACGACATATTATATGCCTTATTTGGATTTTCGAATAAAAAGATATGATAAAAACAAACCGCGTGAAACTGATTATTAGCGCCTGGCGCTAACCTTCAGCGCCTGGCGCTAATGTTAGCGTGTGGCGCTTAATTGCCAGCGTCGGCGCTAATCAAGTTTTATTTGCGTCAGAACTCTTTTTTGATTTTTTTTTATCTTTTTGACTGTTTTTCTCTATAAATGGCCTTCAAAAAACCCCGTTTTCATTCACCAACTCTCATCAAGATTCTCTTGATTACTCTCTCTCCCTCTCTTTTCTAAACTAGCCTTTTCTCAAATACAAAATTCCGCATTCACAAGACCTAGATACACTTAGCCATACTCGAAGTTGCCTTTGCCCTAGACGTGAAAGGTTTTAATTTCTGAGGGTTTGGTCCCAAATCTTTATTTCAATTATTTGATTTAATTTTTTTAATTATTATTTTCCTTGAATTTACTAATGTGTGTATTTTGTTATTAGAAAGAGATACGAGGCATCCAAGTAAGTACTTTAATTGATTTATTGTTATTATGATATAGAAATCATGTTTAGGATGTTATTTTGGTTCCTAGTATCATGTTAGGATGCTTTCTTTAGTATGATATTTAGGGTGATTTGCTTATATCAATCATGATTCCTGCGATGTCTTTTATTCTCTTCCTAATATTCATGTTAGTATCATGTTAGGTTAAAGCTTTGATCTTTATTGCTTAGTGACATGCTAGGGTTTGTTATTAATCTTGTTAGTATCATGCCTAGGATCTTGCTATTATTATGATTTAACATGATTATGAGTATTATTATTATTATTATTATGATTATAATTACAATTTATTATTATTATGTTTCTTGATATTTATTATTTATTGCTTGATCACACCTTTTATGCATGTTTAAAGAGAATTTGGTACTTGTAATCACGCTTAATTAGATAATTAATAATCTTGTTAGGGTTAATTTGATTATAATTCAAGTTATCGCCAATAATAGATTTATTTGTGCATTAATATTCAACCAACATAAATAAACAGGTTTAGGGTAATCCTAGTGATTGCATGTTAGTCAGAAAGCGCACATGAATACGATCAGAATAATGGAGAGGCCTATTATTAGGGCAGGTTCAATCTCTTTTAGGTTGGATTTGTACCTTCATCCCCGAACTACCAGTCATGGTTCCAGACCTATTGGAGTTGACGATCTCCAGGATCGTTAAGGGGTGTAACCTTCACCTCATGAATGGTTTACAAGTTCCTAAAACTTGTTGACGACTCTTTTGCTCTAGCTTCCCTCCCTTTGGACGCCACCGTACTTTAGTGTATCATCACAGTGGGGTTCAAGCTAGGGGATTAACGCTTGAAATATTCCTTATAGTTTTTGGCGACTCCACTGGGGAGGATTTCTATTTTAATTCCTGAAATTTATTTCGGCAATGATTTAGACTGAGCGGATGAGACTCGAAAAGTTCTAAGTATTTCATGGGCGTAATTTTGATTAACATTATTGTCATATGCATAAAAAAGATCTCATTGGAAAGACCATCCGTAAGGAGTTAAAAACATAGGATTTTTACACGTAGGAAATTTGAGGAATATCTTTCACAACTAGGATCGAAATAATGCTGCCCGAAACTGGAAAATTTTATCGAGCACAGAAAGCTGCTGAGGCATGTAGGAACTAGCGTCAGGAAAAAAAATGCAGCGCCGCTTATTTGACTTTTGCGCCAGGCGACAGCTTCTGTCGCCAGGCGCTAAAGCCAAATTGTGGCGCCGGCCTCTGTTTGCTAGCGCCATGTTCTTCCAATACCGAGCAATAAATATGCGTTCTAATTTCGACCAGTTTTTAGCACTGTTTGCTCGATCCTACTTCCTGATTGAGTTTTTATCACTTTTCTGAAACCCATATGTGTTCTACATATGGACATAACCCCCTGGGAATTCATGCTCCATCTACCTGATTGAAC